ATTGGTGTTAATATCTGAGGCTCTGGTAAGGAGGCCACTGTTTGCGTCCTCTCTAGCATTTGACCGAGTTGGTGGTAGAGTCTGGTCATTTTTAGCCATTCTTCTCGTCCTCCTCTTGCTAAAAAATTATCCCGGTCGATGGAGTAGTGGCTGTTTTCATAGTGGTAGTCTGTCGGTTTTATTCGCCTGGTACCTCAACAAACTGGCCGACAACAAACACGAAGTACCACCATACCGCAGGAGAACATAAAAATAATACACAAGGCCAAATTTCAGAACGGAATTATACACAAACAATCACTCAAAAGAAATACATAAAAGAAAAACAGGATACAAACAAAGTGCCAATACAGTAACAGGCACAGAAACAGCCCGAGGGGCACTCAGCAAACCACAAACAAGCGCACTAAATGTACAATTACGAAGATACAGAGAAACACATAATGGAAATACATAAAAGAAACACAGGACACAAACAGAAAATAACAATACAGCCAGGCAGAAAAACAGCCCAAAGGGCACACAGCAAAATACAAACAAGAACACAAATAGCACACGCACACATGTAAAAACCGGAACTGGCCCACGCAGGAGCCATGAGGAACACCCACACGCACACAATGACTTTTTTGTTTGTTTTTTGTTTGAAATTTCTTTGTTTGTCTCTGATTTGGGTGCGTGTGGCTTGTTTTCCCGGTGCCTGCGTGCACGCAGGCACCGGGAAAACAAGCCACTCGCACCCAAATCAGAGACAAACAAAGAAACAAAACACAAACATAAACCAGCCTCACGGACTACTCATACTTAGCCACGGAAATCGCAAACAATACGCCTCCCAAAGAAAATACTGGGGGTGCTAGGAAACCCGGCATACCATCAACAAAAACCCGTATCCGCGGAACCCAATTGGAAGTAGGGCTCCATGGAACAGGTAGCACGCTATCAATAATATCAAACCTCACCATGGTAGATGCATCACATACTGTCCCGGAGGATGCACTCGGAGGCACACCGGGGGATGCACAGGGCTGCGCATCAGTGCGCACACTAGGGCTGCGCATCAGTGCGCACACTAGGGCTGCACATCAGTGCGCACACGCCGCACAGTCCCCCTCACTATCCAAGGGACAGCGCACCTGTTGAGACCCTCCCCCACGGCAGACATCCTTCTATAGCACCACGACGATGCCACGGCCGGCACCAGCACCTAGAGTACCAACAGCAAGAGAATCAACCACCCCCCGACTGCAGAGAACCCCCTGCAGGAGAAAGAACAGATGTGAAACGTGAGCCACAGTCATGCGCAGCCGGAGGCCCATTGCAGCCGGAGTCCCAGGAGAGAGCGACGCATCCGGAACCTCTCCGTCGACATCGGAAGACGGACAGTCGCTGAAGTCCCCCACATCCGCCCAGGCAGAAGAAGAACGACGAGAACGCTTAGACACCGGCTGCACACCATCAGAGCAAGAGGCAGAGCCGGAAACACAGGCAATATGGGCCAGGTGCACAGACGCTCGACGCAGAACGGCAGCAGCTTCAACCGCAGGGGGAAATCAGGCCACACACAGCAGGAGGCCCTGCAGCCACTATAGCATCTACCACAGCTGTGACACAAAGCGAAGACGAAGAAGACGTCGACAAATCACAGACCACCAAGAAGACCCAGCAGAACAGCTCGGACAGTGACCCGAACAAAAGGGCCACCCAACGGCACCGCAACTTCCGGAAGAGGGGCTGAAATATCCAAAGGCGCACCAGGCGATGCAGGGGAAGACGTATCAGCACATGGGACATCCACATCCTCACTTATGGAATCCTCCTCCACAGGGAGTGGCGGGAAATCCTCCTGACAGAAGAAATTCAGGGGCGCGACAGCAAGCGCAGAGCACCCAGCAGCCTGATGGTCCAAGAGGCCACAATGATAACATGTCCGAGGCTGGTGGGCGTAATACACCTCACGTAATAACCTAGGAGCTTCACAGAGGAAAAATGTCTGATCTGACCGCAGTCGCATTCCCAGGGTGCAAATGTTCGTCCACACACCCTTGAGCGTTTCCGAGGAGAGCAGGTGCAACTGCTCACTGAAAACAGCTCCAAACTGGCCGAAATAACTCTGCAGCAGTCCCTCCAGAAACTCCAAGGGTGCCCCATGAACATACGTGATGGCACCACTCCAATCCGAGATAGTCACTGTGCCTGCACCTTCCGGCAGGGGTAAGGTTCGCCCCTCGTAACGATGTAAAAACGTCTGGTATGCCTCCTCCACCATAAACATGATAATTCCCCTGCGCGCAGTCACCAATTCAATGCCGTAAACGTCCATCACAGGTATCCGAAGCATTTCAAACACGAGCTCCACCTCAGGATAGTCAGCTCATCCAGAAAACTAAGCCCACGGATTAAGCCCGCACAACAGGAGGGGAAGGGGCCCCCAAGGCGCTGACACGCCAAACAGCACCCTCTTTCTCGCAACTCCAGGCAACAACTGGCAGGTCAGGTGGACGTCTGAACCCCCTGGTGGCCACCGACGCAATCCACAGAGCAACTGGACTGTAGTTACTAATCCGTAACTACATTAATCTGTTCATTCATTAACAGGGGTTTGGCAGGTGCATGGAATCACATTTGTCTTTGGATTGACTGTGTACTACGCTACTTTGTTGCTCCCTGATCTTCAATCAACGGCAGAGGTCTACTGAATGTGAAAGAAAGATTGTTTGAATGTAAACTGGTTTATCAGAGTTAGTACTCCTTAATTATTGTATTATCACAAGTGCATATTCTTTGTGCCGAATTCAAATCTGCCTTACGGCCTGTAGTTTCTTATTAACTTGCAACGGGAGAGTTACGTAGCTCGAGGGAGCACGTAAGGTGAGGTAAGTACAGTATATCTGTGTGATTACTACAGATTGACCAGTGTGAAATATCACACTTCTACAGATTTAGATATTATTACGGTGATTTATAATAATTGTGTGTATTGTTTTGTGTGGTTTAATATATACCATCACTGTGTATAACATTTCCATTGTATGTGTCCTATTCTTTCTCGTTCCAGGAGAAAACTAGTTTTGTAAAGTGGGTTGATTACCCAGTTTATTTACCTGTGATTGCAGGTCTCTGTGATTATTGTTGTCATTGATTAATGTGACAGTGTTGTGTTGTGTCATTAAAAGCGGAAGTTAAGTGCTGTATTGCTACTGTATTTTGTTGGTCTGTGTGACCTGGTGTTGTATAAATTTGTAAATTAATAAGTAATGAGTCAGTGAATTGTAGTTTGTCACTAATTAATGTCATTAGTGAAGTGTGAAGTAATTAGCAACATATTGCCTAATTCTTGGTTGTCAGCTTGTCTACGTGAGCAGCAGTGTTAACGTAAATCACTGTGTTCCATATCCTTCCCTGCCTTCCTATCCCTGAAGCCAGTGTTACTATGTGGAGGTCGTGGGTCTGGGACTCATAGTATAATGTTCAAGGAAAAGAATGGTCCCATATTGACTTACTTCCGCCCCTCTGAGCTGGGGTATGCTGAACTTTGAACATACTACCTCAACACTGGAACACTTGATGATATACTGGACTTGTACCCAAGATTGACTGTAATGCTTCAGTTATACAATGTAATGTGATGTAACTATAACCTGAGCTTCTGAAAACACCTTAATCACCTTCAGTGGTTAAGTGCTTAATAACATACTAGTTTCTATAGGAGCTTTATTACCTATGTCTTGAGGTTATCTTGAGATGATTTCGGGGCTTAGCGTCCCCGCGGCCCGGTCCTCGTCAGGCCCCCCACCCTCCCGCAGGAAGCAACTCGTAGCAGCTGTCTAACTCCCATCTACCTATTTACGGCTAGGTAACAGGAGCATCAGAGTGAAAGAAACACTTTGCCCATTTGTCTCCGCCTCTATCGAGGATCGAACCCGGAACCTCAAGACTACGAATCCGAAGCACCCAGGTGTCAGGTGCCCAATTGTAACATATCATATAAACATTATACATGTGTGTATCTCACATATATGTGAATACAGGGTATGTGTAGCTGGTCAGAATTATAATTCACCTTTGTAAACGCACATTAATGACACTGTAAAAAGACACCTCGAACACTTTATCAAGGACAGACCCGCCAAACACATACCGAAACTACGACGTTGGTACAACGTTCGAACAAGTTTTATCACCTAACCAGTTATAACAACCAATATAGCAAGTTGTAACAACGTTCTAATACGTCATAAACACGTTAAGCCAAGATGTAACAACTTTATTACAAGTTGAAAAGAGCGGAAAATAGAGACAGTTTCGGTTTGTGTTTCCAGGGGACGCAAATATAGAAAATATTAGGTGAATGTCTCCGCTTTGCGACAAGAATTGAGTACCGAACTATTGGGTTGTACAAGTACACTGTACAAGTACACTGTACAAGTACACTGTACTAACCCACAATGGATACTACTCCGGGTATTATTCCTTCTAATACTGCATTACAATTACAATGTTGTACCAATATATATCATTACTTAAACTGTAACCTATGTGTTGTTGAGTCTTAAGTTTGTACACCAATCACTACAGCAAAAGTTTAAACTAGTTGTTTTACTAGGTATGAAAAAGCTTTTAATTTTGATTCAATATTTTTCAACATTAATAATGTTGTAGAAGTATGACATGTGCGCCATATGTGACCTTTGTGTATGTGTGAACAATGGTGCTCTTTCACAAGACCCACCAGCACACAGCTGGACCCCCAATCCGACTGACCAGCACACAGCTGGACCCACCAGCACACAGCTGGACCCACCAGCACACAGCTGGACCCACCAGCACACAGCTGGACCCACCAGCACACAGCTGGACCCACCAGCACACAGCTGGACCCACCACACAGCTGGACCCACCAGCACACAGCTGGACCCACCAGCACACAGCTGGACCCACCAGCACACAGCTGGACCCACCAGCACACAGCTGGACCCACCAGCACACAGCTGGACCCACCAGCACACAGCTGGACCCACCAGCACACAGCTGGACCCACCAGCACACAGCTGGACCTGTCTGATATATAGACAATAACGGAGCCAGAATAAAAATAATACGTGTTAATTTCGGGTAATATTTCCTCGTAGAGATGCAGAATTAACCATAGAACACCAAACCAGTTTCTCCATTTGACTCATATTTAACCTACCTGCCTAGTGTTCCGCCATCAACTGGTCTCTGTTACATGCATGGTCGCTCATCTCTGCCCCCTGGTACATGTTTACCATCGAGTGTAGTGATTTACCCATAACCATCATCCATTTCCCAAATCACGTGGTCAGGTCCTAGGGCGAGGAAATATAATCGTCGGGATACAAGGAGGAGGAAGCCAACTTACCCGATTCTCTGCTGCTCTGTCAGTTCCAGCTGCTCGGCCCTCTTGATCACCTCCAGGATCATCTTAGTCTCCGCCTCCGTCATGGAGTCCTGGCGCGTCAAGGGCGCCGGCTGGCTCGTCGACCACCCCATCTTCAGTCTGTGGGAGTTGCAAGGGAACTTTAAGCACCCGCGTCTTCTCTCTTACTGAAGCTCCCTCCTCTTTACTCCGGACCGGCTCTTTGACAGGGGCATTAACACACGCACACGGAGGAGAGGCATACAGCACTAACAGGCACACGGGGAGAGGCATATAGCATTTACCCAGACACTCGGAGGGTACATACATCCCACTAACACAAGCACACGGGGGAGGGGCATACAGCACTAACACAGCCACACGGTGAAGGGGCATACAACACTAACACAGGCACACGGGGAGGGGCATACAGCACTAACACAGGCACACGGGGAGGGGCATACAGCACTAACACAGGCACACGGGGGAGGGGCATACATCACTAACACAGGCACACGGGGGAGGGGCATACAGCACTAACACAGGCACACGGGGAGGGGCATACATCACTAACACAGCCACACGGGGGAGGGGCATACAGCACTAACACAGCCACACGGGGGAGGGGCATACATCACTAACACAGCCACACGGGGAGGGGCATACATCACTAACACAGGCACACGGGGAGGGGCATACAGCACTAACACAGGCACACGGGGAGGGGCATACAGCACTAACACAGGCACACGGGGGAGGGGCATACAGCACTAACACAGGCACACGGGGAGGGGCATACAGCACTAACACAGGCACACGGGGAGGGGCATACAACACTAACACAGGCACACGGGGAGGGGCATACAGCACTAACACAGCCACACGGGGAGGGGCATACAGCACTAACACAGGCACACGGGGAGGGGCATACAGCACTAACACAGGCACACGGGGAGGGGCATACAGCACTAACACAGGCACACGGGGAGGGGCATACAGCACTAACACAGGCACACGGGGAGGGGCATACAACACTAACACAGGCACACGAAGTGGGGCATACAGCACTAACACAGGCACACTGGAGGGGCATACAGCACTAACACAGACAAAAGGCATACAGGACTAACACAGCCACACGGGGGAGGGGCATACATCACTAACACAGGCACACGGGGAGGGGCATACATCACTAACACAGGCACACGGGGAGGGGCATACATCACTAACACAGGCACACGGGGAGGGGCATACAGCACTAACACAGGCACACGGGGGAGGGGCATACAGCACTAACACAGGCACACAGGGAGAGGCATACAGCACTAACACAGGCACACGGGGAGGGGCATACAGCACTAACACAGGCACACGGGGAGGGGCATACAGCACTAACACAGGCACACGGGGGAGAGGCATACAGCATTAACACAGGCACACGGGGAGGGGCATACAGCACTAACACAGGCACACGGGGAGGGGCATACATCACTAACACAGGCACACGGGGAGGGGCATACAGCACTAACACAGGCACACGGGGGAGAGGCATACAGCATTAACACAGGCACACGGGGAGGGGCATACAGCACTAACACAGGCACACGGGGAGGGGCATACAGCACTAACACAGGCACACGGGGAGGGGCATACATCACTAACACAGGCACACGGGGAGGGGCATACAGCACTAACACAGCCACACGGGGAGGGGCATACAGCACTAACACAGGCACACAGGGAGAGGCATACAGCACTAACACAGCCACACGGGGAGGGGCATACAGCACTAACACAGGCACACGGGGGAGGGGCATACATCACTAACACAGCCACACGGGGAGGGGCATACAGCATTAACACAGCCACACGGGGACGGGCATACAGCACTAACACAGGCACACGGGGAGGGGCATACATCACTAACACAGGCACACGGGGAGGGGCATACAGCACTAACACAGGCACACGGGGAGGGGCATACAGCACTAACACAGCCACACGGGGGACGGGCATACAGCACTAACACAGCCACACGGGGAGGGGCATACAACACTAACGCAGCCACACGGGGAAGGGCATACAGGACTAACACAGGCACACGGGGAGGGGCATACAACACTACCAGTCACACGGGGAGGGGCATACAGGACGACCACAGGCACACGGGGAGGGGCATACAGGACTACCACAGGCACACGGGGAGGGGCATACAGGACTACCACAGGCACACGGGGAGGGGCATACAGGACTACCACAGACACACGGGGAGGGGCATACAGGACTAACACAGGCACACGGGGAGGGGCATACAGGACTAACACAGGCACACGGGGAGGGGCATACAGGACTAGGCACACAGACACACGGGGAGGGGCATACAGGACTAACACAGGCACACGGGGAGGGGCATACAACACTTAACACAGGCACACGGGGAGGGGCATACAGGACTAACACAGGCACACGGGGAGGGGCATACAGGACTACCACAGACACACAGGGAGGGGCATACAGGACTAACACAGCCACACGGGGGAGGGGCATACATCACTAACACAGGCACACGGGGAGGGGCATACATCACTAACACAGCCACACGGGGGAGGGGCATACATCACTAACACAGCCACACGGGGAGGGGCATACAGCACTAACACAGCCACACGGGGAGGGGCATACAGGACTAACACAGGCACACGGGGAGGGGCATACAGGACTACCACAGGCACACGGGGAGGGGCATACAGCATTAACACAGGCACACGGGGAGGGGCATACAGCACTAACACAGGCACACGGGGAGGGGCATACAGCATTAACACAGGCACACGGGGAGGGGCATACAGCACTAACACAGGCACACGGGGAGGGGCATACAGCATTAACACAGGCACACGGGGAGGGGCATACAGCACTAACACAGGCACACGGGGAGGGGCATACAGCATTAACACAGGCACACGGGGAGGGGCATACAGCACTAACACAGGCACACGGGGAGGGGCATACAACACTAACACAGGCACACGGGGAGGGGCATACAGCACTAACACAGGCACACGGGGAGGGGCATACAGCACTAACACAGGCACACGGGAAGGGGCATACAGCACTAACACAGGCACACGGGGAGGGGCATACAACACTAACACAGGCACACGGGGAGGGGCATACAGCATTAACACAGGGACACGGGGAGGGGCATACAACACTAACACAGGCACACGGGGAGGGGCATACAGCACTAACACAGGCACACGGGGAGGGGCATACAGCACTAACACAGGCACACGGGGAGGGGCATACAAGCACTACAACACAGGCACACGGGGAGGGGCATACAGCACTAACACAGGCACACGGGGAGGGGCATACAGCATTAACACAGGCACACGGGGAGGGGCATACATCACTAACACAGGCACACGGGGAGGGGCATACAGCATTAACACAGGCACACGGGGAGGGGCATACAGCACTAACACAGGCACACGGGGAGGGGCATACAGCACTAACACAGGCACACGGGGAGGGGCATACAGCACTAACACAGGCACACGGGGAGGGGCATACAGCACTAACACAGGCACACGGGGAGGGGCATACAGCACTAACACAGGCACACGGGGAGGGGCATACAGCACTAACACAGGCACACGGGGAGGGGCATACAGCACTAACACAGGCACACGGGGAGGGGCATACAGCACTAACACAGGCACACGGGGAGGGGCATACAGCACTAACACAGGCACACGGGGAGGGGCATACAGCACTAACACAGGCACACGGGGAGGGGCATACAGCACTAACACAGGCACACGGGGAGGGGCATACAGCACTAACACAGGCACACGGGGAGGGGCATACAGCACTAACACAGGCACACGGGGAGGGGCATACAGCACTAACACAGGCACACGGGGAGGGGCATACAGCACTAACACAGGCACACGGGGAGGGGCATACAGCACTAACACAGGCACACGGGGAGGGGCATACAGCACTAACACAGGCACACGGGGAGGGGCATACAGCACTAACACAGGCACACGGGGAGGGGCATACAGCACTAACACAGGCACACGGGGAGGGGCATACAGCACTAACACAGGCACACGGGGAGGGGCATACAGCACTAACACAGGCACACGGGGAGGGGCATACAGCATTAACACAGGCACACGGGGAGGGGCATACAGCATTAACACAGGCACACGGGGAGGGGCATACAGCATTAACACAGGCACACGGGGAGGGGCATACAGCACTAACACAGGCACACGGGGAGGGGCATACAGCACTAACACAGGCACACGGGGAGGGGCATACAGCACTAACACAGGCACACGGGGAGGGGCATACAGCACTAACACAGGCACACGGGGAGGGGCATACAGCACTAACACAGGCACACGGGGAGGGGCATACAGCACTAACACAGGCACACGGGGAGGGGCATACAGCACTAACACAGGCACACGGGGAGGGGCATACAGCACTAACACAGGCACACGGGGAGGGGCATACAGCACTAACACAGGCACACGGGGAGGGGGGGGGGGCACTAACACAGGCACACGGGGAGGGGCATACATCACTAACACAGGCACACGGGGAGGGGCATACAGCACTAACACACAAGAGACGTACATGAAGACAGCACACAGACCACAGGTGCTCACAAGGGCACACAGACCACAGGTGCTCACAAGGGCACACAGACCACAGGTGCTCACAAGGGCACACAGACCACAGGTGCTCACAAGGGCACACAGACCACAGGTGCTCACAAGGGCACACAGACAACAGGTGCTCACAAGGGCACACAGACAACAGGTGCTCACAAGGGCACACAGACCGTTAACACAGACCACAGGTGCTCACAAGGGCACACAGACCGTTAACACAGACCACAGGTGCTCACAAGGGCACACAGACCACAGGTGCTCACAAGGGCACACAGACCACAGGTGCTCACAAGGGCACACAGACCACAGGTGCTCACAAGGGCACACAGACCACAGGTGCTCACAAGGGCACACAGACCACAGGTGCTCACAAGGGCACACAGACCACAGGTGCTCACAAGGGCACACAGACCGTTGACACAGACCACAGGTGCTCACAAGGACACA